GCTGCCCACCAGCACCCCCACATCCCTTTCCTGGGACGGTGTCAAATGCTTTACTGATATCCAGATAGACCAATTCCACTGCATGGCCATCATCTGTCCACATGGTTATATCCTCATAAAAGGCCATCAGGTTGAACTTACTGATGTTTTGCCCAACAGAGGGATGGTTTGATCCTTGGCAGGGTATCATCAGGTTGAAAAGCACAGGATGAGGTTTGAATGCAGAGCAGGGACACATCTGTGAAGTCACAGCACCGATGCTGGCATAATGTGCCCTTACCTACCACAACCACCATAAAGAAAAAAAATGCTAAAAGGAAACTAAGAAAAGCAGAGTTTTGAGATACAGATTAAAAAAAATGTATGAATATATCTAGAAATAAACTCAGGAATATGTTTCTACTGAGATACACTATAACTACAATGACATATACTCACTACAGACCTCGCTGCTCAAATTTGTGTTTATCTATTGCCACCTACTCATTATGACACCAAATTTCTTCTATGATCACAAACAACTAAAATTTCACAGCAACACAACTTCTTCCATGGCCAAAGCAGGACAACATGAGAAAGAATGAATTTCATTTGCCCCAAAGCATGGGATCTATTTCCAACTCCTTTCTTTCACCAACGAGAGGTGGGTGTTTCACATCCATATTAAAATCACACTTGCACAGAGGAGTATTTGCTAACTGGAGCAGTAATAGCAACATGGATAATTTGAGTTTTACTTGGAAACACTCATTTTCCTGTGAAAAGTCGACCATTTTACACTGAAATAATAACAGATCATCTGACTACAATAAACAGCAGCAAGTATATTTAGATTTTTACACATAGGGCAGTTACTACAGACGTCAGTAGAAGTATAAAAACCCTGACAAAGTGAACAACACCTTACCTCCCGTGCGCCTGGTGAACATCGCAACCAAGGACTGACAGCTTGCTGCCACCCTTCTACAGGGGAATTTAACAAGTCACTTAGTACAAATTGAGCTCCAACATAAGAAATTCCAGAGGAATAGCCCGATTCCGTGATCATAGAATCGTTCAGGTTAGAAAAGACCGCTGGGATCATCGAGTCCAACCACTAACCCTACTCCGCAAAACTCACTCCTAAACCATCTCCCCCAACACCACATCTCAAGGACCGTTAAGCATCTCCAGGGATGGCGTACATTTTTTACCCCTGGTGGGACTCCACCAGACAAAAAACCAAACAGGGATTCTGGTCTTGTTTGTAGTTCATATGATTTTTAAAAGAAAGAGATAGTCATCTGGGAAACACAATGTAATCTGGAATTATTTCAAATTTTCAAAGTTTTCAAAAGTTTTCAAAGTTTTCAAAATTTAACATGAAAATAGGTTACTATTAATGAAGTCAATGTTTCTTGAGAAATAAACATTTTTATATAAATTACTAAAAAATTATTTAAATGACAACTAAACCATGACCACAGCTTCATGTCTAAAAGGTACTGATTTGTTTGCATTAATGACTTTAAGGTTTGTTTTGGTTTTGTTTTGCTTAAGCAATAACACTAAATCTTAAAAAGGAAGCAACTCTTTGGTTCCTGAGCTTCGTAGTTCTAAAAAAGTTACGAGTGTAAAATAAATTGATATGTGGAGGACAAAATAACACAAATTTTATATTTATGGTATGTTAAAGTATTTATGAAGTATTCAAAACAAGTTTTTAAAGTAAATATGGAATATTAAAGTGGGCCAAGCAAAATTTAGCAGAAATTCTGTGTGAGAAACTCAAGATATTGTTCACTGACTGTACTTTGAGTTGTATCACTTGTTCATGTGATTTGTACAGTTATAAATAAAAAAACCCCAAATTTCTTATCTTGTTTGTGTGACATTTTAACCTCTTTTTTAAAAAAAGTGAATAAATATGATTTGCAGTATCTCCATCGTGCAAAGTTCTTTAAAAAATAATCAGAACGCCCAAAACCAACAGTATTACTATCTCTCAGTCTAGAAAATAAATAAACTGGAGGAATTAACAAAAATATAAGGAATATCATACCAGAAAAGCAGCGAGACTTCTTGGGGGGGAATCCCAGTCAAAGCAACTGCTAATGTAGTATGCAGCACTGATGAGTGCCATGATACAACGCTTCATCCGGATAAAGTTCCTTAACAGTAGCTGTTAAAAAGATGAAAGAATAAAAATGTTTCAAAACATCAAAAGCTTCAGGAGACGCTCAGGCTTACAATATTGTCATTCTTAATTTCAGTGAAGATTGTGAAAATAACATGTTAAGGTCTCTAGCTCACAAACTGAGAAAGAAGGTTTAAAATTTGAGCAGCTTGGGAGACTTTATTAGTTGTGTCAACTGGTATTTGCTGATTTAATTCTAAATGGTACACAAATTGCTTTGCGGTTTTAAAAAAGAGCAAAATTTCACCAATGGTTTTGCTATCACGATTTCACAGTTTCATGAATTAGGCAAGACTTTCCCTGTTCTTGGGTACTTCACAGATTTTGGCCGGGATGCTGTAGGACACTAACCCGAAACCATGCAAAAGTACTTTTCTAATCTAATGAAGATCACTTGTACCTTTTAGATCCAATTTTTCCTTCATTTGTAGCAAATTTGTCTGCTGTGATGGATTCTGATCACGTGTTTATAAGTATTTATTAAAGCAGCTTTAACTGCATACATGCAACCTATATAGAGACAAGACCAGTGTCGGGTTTTGATTCAGCAGAATCCTTAAATCTTCTAAAATGGCAATATACTCAACTCCCCCCCCCCAAAAAAAAGGGGGAATAAACCAGTGGATGATTTGTGTATTGAGTAGCACAGAAAACGCTAGGTTGGTAAGACATTCACTCTTGGAAAATCCGGATGCTTTAAAATGCAACTGCATCATCAACACATAAAGATTCTTTTATTTTCCTTGCACTAAGTGGTATGGTGGTGGGCTATCCCATGCAAACTAATTTAAGGAAAAACAACCTGAAGAAAGTATTTGAGGTTAACTTCTCATGCTGTCTGCAAGACGCACAATGTCATTTTCTGTTAGGAAAGTGGGGAGAAGAATGAATCTTGAATAAAAGGCCTTGCTGTTTCTATGCCCAAATAGCAGTGCAAAACGCAGCTTTAGTATCTGCAGCAGCCACAACAGCAAAGGAAGAAATATTTTGCCTCTTGAAACCTTTCTTAATGAAATGTATCATGCGCAAAATTCATCCAGCAGATTTAAATTATGTTCAAGTCTATCAGCTTTCAGCAAAATAGAAAACCAGTTTTGAGACTTTTGCTTTTTCACTGCGAACAACAAATACCTTGCTCCCACAGTCCAACCAAAAGCCCAGTTCTCTCCATGCACAATACATCATTGTGGAATGTGAGAAAATGAATTAAAGGTAGTTCAAGTGAAGAAAAAGATTTATTTTTTTACCACAACATTAAAACTGCGAGTGGCAAAAATATACAAAAGAAAAAAAAAAGGATCCAAACATTTTCTACCTGCAGAACATCCAAAAGTAATTCAGAGTTTCAGTCTGCCTTTTGATTCAAACCACACCTAATTCATTTAAAATTTGGTTAAAAGAATGATGAAAGGTCCTCTACCCTGCAACAAATGGAGATCTTTCAGGTCAAGGTTAACGACAAAAATTTATGCAAGACTTAGTTTACGTGCACCTGCGCTATAATTTGATATGTGTGGAACCTGATGGTTGACTGTGTTCTTATTCACGTATTTCATGGAAATTAAGCTGCAATTTATAGAGGAGACACAATAAACCCATGTATTTTGTTTCTGCCTTTTCCAACCTATCATATTCTGTTGTAAACAGGTAATGAAAATGTTATTCTCTACCCCTAGCAGTATGATACCAGATATTTGGACGTGCACACTTGATATTAAGGCTCTTGGAAAGGATTAGTGTTTCCTTACTCTTTACCTGCTTAGACAGTCTGTTTTCCTCTTCAATGTACTTCTGTTCTTTGGGCATTAAGGTTCGTACGCTGGCTTTCACCTGCGCATTAAAAGTGTGTGTCAGCATTTCAGGCTTACCTGCTCCTCTGCTAATATCACATGCTTCCATTTGCAAAAATTACGAAGTTGGAAAGCTGCAGCTGCCAAACCGGCGGCACATCACGGCGCGCCGCGGCGCGAGCTGCT